CGCCCCCAAGCAGCTGACCAGTCACGCAGAATGACAAACCTGTGCAGGTATTCAGGTCATCACTGATGGAATCTAGAAAGGTTTTGTACAAATCTGCCCCTTCTTTACTGCTTCACAGAGTGCCACAGTGTTTTAACAGTACCATGGGTCCTTAATAGGATATATACGTGCAGGTATATATCATGGAGATATGGCTTTCGTTATATTGTTGTGTGTATTCTGGAGGGTTTTTTTTTTTTTTTTTCACCGACAAAGAGAACAATCAACTCAACTCCTGTGTCTCATAGGCCAGTGCAGAACCTGAAGGGACTGTAGGGTTCATCTTGTTCAACCCCCTCCACTTGACTGCTGATGCTACTCGGTTTCCTTTTGTTCTCTGTTAATCGACACTTGTATTTTTGAGAACGGGCTCTCAAAGCCTATAAATGGAAAATAAGGTGCTCCAGGAATTAAGGGCGCAAGCAAAACCGAAACAGAGCAATTGCACCTTCAGAAACAAATACGAAATAAAATGTCCTAAGATGAATTAAAATCACTCACTTTCAATCTGTCTTGTGTTATAAAGATGTCAAATTAGCAAAATTCCCCTCACAGAGGGTAGCAAGTTTTCTTGAGGAACAGAAATATTTTTCTTCCTTGGTAAAACCGATCATCCAAATAACTGTAAATTTCTATTTAAATTTACAACCTCTTTTCACAAAACCCACGACTATACCCAGAAGCACACCTCCAAAGCTCGGTCTGGGCATAGCTTCCCATTGGCATGCTGTGCCTGATTTTTTTTTAAGTTTTACTTCTTTTAACGGAGTGGAAAAAAACAAAACAGCATACTGACAATGGAGTACACTGGGAATGAAACCTCTCTCCCAACCAGAGCCCAGAGCAGGGTCTTGGCCTGTGCACACTGAACATCAATGTATGTGATGCCCCCAGGGTGAGGTTTCTTTTTCCTCGGGGACTGAGTCTGCCCTTCCCACAGTCCCACAGTCCGTTTGACGTGGATGAGGACATCCAGGCTTCAGGGTCCATATTCGCTAAAACCCAACGCCACCATACGACCCAGAGACATTTATACTCAGCTAATGAACTCCATTAGCTTCCCCTAATTATATAAGTTATTCCTTTTATGGATCTGCTCTACATATCAGGGGCACGACGTCTGGAGCGGTAGTTTCTGCACACAAGGTATTAATTGACGAAGACCATGCACAATTTTGCTTGCACAGTTTAAAGGACAGGTGGGGTGGAGGGGAGGGGTCAGAGGGAACAGCTATCTGAAAAGTTCAATATAATGCCTCCGAATTTATAGCTTGTCCTATCTTTTCCAAGTCTTTGGCTTTCCCACCTGACCCTGAAACGATCTCTGGACAAGAATTCACCCATTTTCAGCTAAACTCGACAAAGGTTCAGTGGACAACACCTGGAAAGACAAACCAGTGCTATCACCGAGACCTGCAAAGACAAGACTGTCCGGGTGTGTGACGTGCCATCTTGCGTCTCATGGAAGCCATCTTTTCTCTGGACTACACCCTAGTGTTTCTGGTGATGGGAAAAGAATAGTCCATGGCACAGAGTTCAACAGTCTTTTTACTCCTCAGAAAGCTCCTCAGGGGAAGGTGCCGAATACATTCCTCCCAGCTAACAGTCGCTGGGTTTTTCCTAAGTAGGGACTGACGCCAGCTGATCCCAATGGTTGTCTTTGTTCCTCCCATACTATGGTTTATAATAAATCTTCTTTCTCTCTGGTTTTAATCTCCCATAGATAAAGGCTTCCCAGATTAAACACAAGTTTTCCTGTTTCATACACAGGCTTAAGCCATCCAAAAACAATAAGAACAGTAATAATAATAAATAAATAGAAGTGAATCCATAGAAACTCTCGATGTCTGTACAGCAGAAGTGACAAAGTTTAAGTCAAATATTTGTTTTCCCTTTTTTTCATCCACATCAAAGGCAGGAATACAACAAGGCATTGTTAGTTGTGGTGGGCAAACTGGAGTGTCTGCTGATATAACAAATTAGGGTTGTTAAGGCCTTTGTCTATGCAGAGTTAATAGTAATGCAGAAGCCAGATTGATTCAAAAGAAGGGGTAAGGGCTATGAAGCAAGGAAGACCAAAAAAGAAAAAAGACCAAAAAAAAAAAAAAAAAGGAAGAAGAAAAGAGAAAACAAAAACTAGGGAAGAAACCAAGGGAGGTGGAAAGAGAGAAAGAGACAATGCCAAAAAGAAGTTCATACTGTGTCTATGGATGGAGAAGTGCACATGGCTTCCCTCTGAAAGCCTCTCGGTGTCTTTGTTGTTAATACTGTCGGAGTGAAGAACAGCAGATTGATGGCATCCAGCGGCAGTTAAAAGACGTTCATCCTCTCGGCCCATCTGAGGAGGTGCTTTGGGAAGGATCGGTCTGGGGGAAAGGGCCCTAGCCTAGAATATCCAGGTAGACTGGAGATGCCTTGGCCAAGTTCTGAAGGAGGGTGTGGATGCCCTTGATGTTCTTCCTCATATGGGGCTCTCGTTGCCAGCACCCCAGCATCAACTCGTAGACCTCCTGGGGGCACGTTCTAGGTCGCTGCAAGACTCGGCCCTGAGTGATGCATTCTATCACCTGGACAGGACAGAGATCGAAGACAGAATCAGACGAGAAGAAAAACAAAACCAATAAAACAAATGTCCGTGCAAGGAGAGGGCTGCCCTAAACAATTATTATAGGTTGGTAAATCATGGTTAATTTCATTGGTTTATATCCCTTTTTCTAGGCACACCGATGTCACCAAACTGGTGGAGAAATGCTTTCTCTCTGTGGGATGCTCCCACACCTCACTCTGGAATTCCAATGTGTTTTAGTCTTACTGGCCTTCGATGGAGCCTGGAACTTTCACGTCAGGGTGCTGACTGACAAGGGAATTCCAAGCTGTGGAAATGAGTGGAGTTGGGATAAAAGACAGATGTGGGCCTGAAGAGGATGTGAGGTGCCTAACCAAGAAGCTATGCCTCAAGTATAGACAATAGTTGTAAAATAATTGAAATGGGAAAATAAAACACTAGAATGTTCTAGTGAAATGTGCAAAAAAAAAAAAAAAAAAAGCCTTAAAACCTTATTGGAATACTACCAAAAAAACTAGTTGGATTCTGAAGGTGCCACATCTGTTACAAATTTACCAGATGAGCAGCACAAAGCGATTCCTCCGTCCCATCACTGGCGGGTCCCAAATGTGTCAGCAAACACTGCTTTTCTTTCTCTAGAACTCTTAAACTCAGGGAGTGACTGGACTTTGGCCATGACATTTAGGTATAGAGAGGCCATGTGGGAGGTGCTGCTCCCCACAAAGCCACACAACTTTGTCTCCTGGCCTCCAGCTGAGGGACGCCTCTGGACGTCAGCCCTCGGGGGTCTCACCCAGCCCACTGCGCACCTCGTTGTTGGACAGCTGGTACCAGGGCTGTTTGCCGTACGTGAAGATCTCCCACAACACGACACCCAGGCTCCAGACATCACTTTCTGTGGTGAACTTCCTGTACATGATGCTCTCTGGAGGCATCCAGCGAATGGGCAGCATTGTGTGGCCACCGACCTGGTGAAGAGGGGGAGAAAGGAGGCATCAGTCACTCGAAAACCAAGTTCCCATCATCAGGGGGAAGAAGGGTAGAATGCAAATGGGGGGGCACTTTTGTCCTTTCCTTTATTTGTATTTGTTAATTTTAATTATTTATAAACACACGAGGGAAATACAATTTCTTTATAAGAAACAAGCAACAGAGACAGAGGGCAAAGAATGGTCAAAGTATTTTTTTCATACTTTTTTGCTGTTCTCTCTTTCTGGTAACTAGATAGGGCAGAAAGAGATGACGATGGGGCGGATGTTCATCCTGGATAAAACACACAGGCACACACACACACACACACACACACGTGCTTCCTGGTATGAAGGTGACTCGGTCTTCTAATTAACTTTGGCCAGGAAACAAGTAGGAAGCTGTGTCCAAAATGATCCACCAAATGACTCTACTTTCTTAGCAAGGCCGGAGCTTCCTTCCACCTGCAGGTCTTAGGATGAGTGCACAGGGCTGCCTCAGATGCCCTCACACAACCCAGCCATGGGCAGGGCAAAAATGATTAGTCCCATTTTACAGATGAAGCAACGGAGGCGCAGGTTGCTATTGACACAAAGAAGTCAAGTCTTCGGACCCCAAGCTTAGGACTTTCCTCTACTACAATTGAGCTTGTGTACAAAAATAAAGAGATCCAGTTTGGGGAAAGTCCATTTTATGAAAACAGTAAGGCTGAGGCATTAGATGGCAAGAGCTTTACCCCAGCCATAGGGTACTTTGTTTGACAAGGACACTTGTTTATGATTTCCGGCTTCCTGGAGAAAAGTTAAGAATTTCATGTTTCGGTTTGTAGCCCATCAGGGCTGTCTGACTTAAAACCGTGATCAGATTTCTGCACAGTAGCCCTGTGGGTGGTGGGTCCCAGTTTTCATGCTGGAAAACCCAGCACTACCAGCCCAAACGTGTTGCCGGATGCCCGGGTGACAGGTGAGCACAAAGACAGCAGGGGTTAGACCGTCGGCCCCTGCGTTCTCAGACGGATGCCCGATTACAATCGTCAGCGTCCATTTCTGACTCATTAAAGGAAAGAAACAGACTAACGGTGCCTGAAAAATGCTGCCCAACCCCTGAGCCCAAGGAGCTGAGCGTGTCAGGGATGTGTAACATGCTTGGCGATTTCCAGCGATGCTCTTAGCATCGAAGAGAGCTTGAGTGTCGAAGGAGGAGGGTGTCCTGCGGGGTTTTTCCCTCCATTCTTCTCTGTACAAGGACTCCAGATCTGACAAGTAGGGACATAAATTCCTGGGTCAGGGGTGAGGTGCCCTCATATCTTTACTGTTCAGCTTTGAACACACCCCCAGCTCAGACGCTAAGTAGAGGTGGGTAGCCTTCGATCCGCTTTCAATTCTGTCTCTCACTTCTCGCCAGGCAGTAAGAGGCAGCTACGCTTTCATGGGCACAGATACCCTTCATGGAGCTGCCCGGGCATGCCTGGAGGTGATGTCAGTCTTCCCATCAGGGTCAATATTCCAAACAGAACCTGTGTGGCACAGGCACTGATGGGCCAGAGAGGATGCCGGGGGCCATCTCAGCACGCCATGTTGGTGCTGCTGGCCTGCTGAGGACCTGCCCGGCTCCCGACCCTGGAGCCCCGCGGGCTCAGGACTCTGGGAAAGGAAACGTGCCAATACACAAGGCGTTTCCCCTGTTTCCAGATACTCCCAAGGACCAACGTGGAATGATCGGCTCAGGTGCTGGCAGCCCACATATCAGCAGCAAGGAGAAGCTTTGTGGCGGGTGCAGGGAGCTACGCGGTGCAGAGTCCCGTGGAGTGAGAGGTCTCTGCACAGGTTTCTAGTGTAAAAGACCTATTTATTTATTTTGTGGGAATATTGCAATTAAAATCCAGATTTATGGGGCGCCTGGGTGGCTCAGTCGTTAAGCCTTCGGCTCAGGTCATGATCCCGGGGTCCTGGGATCGAGCCCCGCATCGGGCTCTCTGCTCCGCGGGGAGCCTGCTTCTCCCTCTCCCACTCCCCCTGCTTGTGTTCCCTCTCTCGCTGTCTCTCTCTCTCTGTCAAAGAAAATCTTTTTTTTTTTTTTTCAGATTTTTTTTTTTATTCTTATGTTAATCCCCATACATTACATCATTAGTTCTAGATGAAGTGTTCCATGATTCATGTTCGTGCACAACACCCAGTGCTCCATGCAGAACGTGCCCTCCTCAATACCCACCACCAGGCCAACCCATCCTCCCACCCCCCTCCCCTCTAGAACCCTCAGTTTGTTTTTCAGAGTCCATCGTCTCTCATGGTTCGTCCACCCCTCCGAATTCCCCCGCTTCATTCCTCCCCTCCCGCTACCTTCTTCTTCTTCTTTTTTTTTCTTAACATATCTTGCATTATTTGTCTCAGAGGTACAGATCTGAGATTCAACAGTCCTGCACAATTCACAGCGCTTAACAGAGCACATACCCTCCCCAGTGTCTATCACCCAGTCACCCCATCCCTCCCACCCCACCCCCCACTCCAACAACACTCAGTTTGTTTCCTGCGATTAAGAATTCCTCATATCAATGAGATCATATGATACATGTCTTTCTCTGTTTTGTCAAAGAAAATCTTTTAAAAAAATAATAATAAAATAAAATCCAGATTTATGATCAAGATATAGTTGGTCTGTGAGGGATAAAAAGAGAACTAGGACATTATGGACAAACATGTGGTAACCTTTTGGATACTGGGCCCTCAAAACATTAAGAGCCAGCTCCCCACAGAAGTTCCTAGGTCAGACATGCCAAATATGCTGTAACCTGTAACTTGCCTCGCTTCTTGGAGAGTCATGATGCACAGAGTCTTCTTAACGTGTCTCGGGAGTTTGGCGGAAAAAGAAACCAGATTTAATTTTGTTTAACTTAGTGAATTAAACTAATTTGAATGTGTGTTTGTGGGGAGAGGGAGAGAGTCAGAGAATCGCTTCCATACGTCTAGAATCAGACAGCTAAACTCCCACTGTGGGATGTGCTAACCTAACAAGATACCATGCTTTCCATACTCCTGCATATACACGCTGGTAATGTCATGGACAACCCTCAGGTTGCGATGTTAGAAGCTGGGTCCCAGGGCACCATTTCCTCGTTGGGTGTCCTTGACTAGTTGCCAAACCCTTGACTAGTTGCTCCAACTATGAGGTATGGGTAACAGCTTATACCTCCCAGGGTGATGGTGAGGTAAACACTCAAACAGACAACGTTTGTGAAAGTGCTTGGTGAATTCCAATGCACTAATTTATTCAAGGTGTCTCTCCCTTCCCGGTAACCTTTACTATCTTATCTCCTCCATTCTGGAGACATTAAGAAGAGCCAGTGCACACGACTCTCCTCTGTGCCTTGCTCTGCAGGGACAAGTGCTCTGGGGTTCCTCCGATGGTGGCCCCGACCCTCCCAGTTTCTCTGTCCCGTGTTGCTAATGGCCAAAGAAAAAGCTCCTGTTTCCTTTAAAGGAGAAAAAAAGATTCCACTTTTGATTTACATGTTTTCCCATCTGATCATTTGTTTTATGCTTGCAGTCTCTTTGGGACACATTTTTCACGTTAATTCTTTTCAAGAGTCCCTTCTGGGATTTCACACATGCTGTTATAAATAATGCTTTCCTTGTTCTGATGTCAAACGGGTGAGTGGTGGGAGAATCTAATAAAAGTTCAGACAGGGTTCACAAGTTTTCCAAACCCATTTAGAACATTTCTGAACATTTCTTTTGCAGGCCTTTCTCAGCATTTTGGAGCATGTCACAAAAGTAGACCAAGGGGGTGGGGGGAATAGAGTCACCGTTGTTACAAATTACTGTCACATTCCAGTCACAGCGACTGGATGGCTTTTGGACTTCACAAAACCACATACTGAGTGGCCACAAACACAACGAGGCATTTGTTTTGCATTGTGCTACCTGGCAACTTGCCCTCACACCCTGGCTTCAGTATCTGTGAGATGGAATGCCATCCCAAGTATGACACGCCGAGTCGGAGCGCTGCTTCGAGAGCCGGACCTGCCACGGTGCCGGGCGGGGCTCTCCAAGGATCCAGGATCCAGGCGGGTCAGGCGCGGGCCCGGCACTAAACTCACCAGACTGAGCTGAAGACAGATGGGAAATCCACGCGGCTGGGGACTTGATTTGGACTTGAGATGTTTATTTTTCTCAACCCAAAACACTGGGGACCTAGCTCCTGCTGTGCGATTAACTAGCTCAGCTGAGTCACTTCAGGTCTGGCTTACTGGTAAAATGTGGACCAGCCCTTGATTATTTTTAGCACAAAACGCTGTGGTTCCGTAATCGCTCACCACCACTTGGCCCCATCATCATCCATCAGCACAGAGTCGTTCACTTTTACAAAGAATTTCCACTCAGAATTTCACTTGAACCCAGTAGTTACACTCAGGGGTAGACATTGGTTTGCCTTCATATTGCAAATAATGCCCCGTAATTTCAGAGAGTTGAAGTAGCTTACGTCAGGGCACACAATAATGTCTGCGCACTGGACGTCTTGTACTTGTTCCCACAGGTCGTTCTGTGCATCCTGCTTCTGCAATCTCTAATACATGACCTGTGTTCAGCCCCCAGGCCCAGTTGTGTGGTGCTTCACCCAGGCTGAACCTACTCATGCCTCTTGGAAGTCTGATCCCCTTTCCTTTCTACCTACTCCCCAAAGAGCTCCTGAATACGAGCTCAAATCACACCATTTCAAGGAACTCTCAGTCCTGCTGCAGCCCAGTGAATTGCCCAAAGACAATCCAGCGCCCCTCAGGATATCTCTGGCGACATGGCAGGCACTCCTTTCTTTTGCTAACAGATCACCTGCCTCAAGAAAGATGGGTACTTCTCAGTTATATCTGGCCAGGCATGAGGGGGTTGGTTGGTAAGCTTATCATGTCTTTGAGCGGGTTTCTTATGAGTGCTGATATTTGGAGAGGAATTCTCAACATGTTCTTTCAAAGAGATCAGGGTTCACTACTCTCCTATCTA